AACTTTTTGTTCTGAGTAGCTGAATTAAGAACAGCAACAACAACTTTGTATGTTCTCTACCTGAAGATGTTCCAGAGTGGAACAAAAGGTTGTAGAAGATAATAATAATAATTATAACGTAATAATAATAATTGGGCTCTGTAATAATTATTATTGGGCTCCAGTTTGGGCCTCCAGAACCTCTCAGTCAATTCAGGATAGTTCCTGGATAGTCGGTCTTTGCCCAATCGTCGCCGAGGGGGGGGGGGGGGTGAGGGTTAAGGCAGTTGTCTGGGAATCACCAGAACGCCGGTTCAAGTCACCCCCATTGCCAAAGCATGAATTTCTCATTGATATATCAGGTTATTTGGATTTCTTTGTGATGTATGTATATATTTCGATCACTTGGGCACTATGAGATTCGAACCGGGTACCCCACAAGCTTGAGGTAGAACCTCTACCACTGTAGTGCCATTGTATACGTTCCCCGGACGCCACTAAGCACATTAGTGATCCACGCCCCTCGGTATATAAATTGCCAACGTGTGGTTGACAATTTATATATCGTGGAAATAAATATTATTAAAAACATTAAAAATAAATATTTCTTGGAAATATTTATATATCATGGGACTAAATATTTCATTTATCATCCTCATCAACGAAGTTGTGGTTACTCCATTATACATGCCTTGGCTACCCACGGCTGATCAGAGACCGGGCCACGCGGTCACTGATCCCTGTGAACCCCCCCTAAATGTATTTCAAGGTATACGTACAACGTGTCGATAGGCTTTATAACCACTCAAACCTATTATGAGAATGGAAAAGGGGAGGGGGATTATTATTCAGTAAAAGGAAGCATTAATTAAGAATGACGGCATGTTTTTATCCAGCGTGTTTGTTTACGCAAATCAGCTGACGTCCACTCCACGTGCCGTGTGGAGGGGGGGGGGGGGGGGATGGAGGGGGTGAGGAACCCGCCTAATGAATGACGTCATGTTTACCAGCAGTGACGTCATGGCCATCAGCACGAATGCTTTCGTAATCAATTTCGACGCCAATTGTCTACTAGCGATTAATAATACTATGTATATTTCTCCCATTTATTGTCTATGAAACTACTCCAAAACCGCTTTGTTTTAGCCAATGACACCACTCCGTCTATCTGCCAGTAGGAAAGATGATAACATTGCATTGTTATCATCAAAGATGATAACATTGCTGGATTGCATTGCATACATTGGAAGAATGTCTATTGTGCTCCTGGCAGGTTTTTCATGAATCTCAATTATGGATTTTTTTTGGTGAATATCATTATGAGTTTGGGATTGTCGCTTTGCAAGCTTCAGTATATGGTGTACCAACTTATATCTATATAAAGAAAATGTTAATGTTCGTTCGTTCAAAATCGCTAATCTCCGAAAGTTCTTCATCGATTGCTTTGAAATTTTGACAGAACGTTCCATTCGCATACGAGCGGGGGGGGGGGAGTTATGAGTGGAAGAGGGAGGATGGTGGATAAATGGGGGAAGTAGGAGAGACGAAAAGAATGGGGTTATGGGATCTTGAGGTTATCTTGAGATGATTTCGGAGCTTGGCGTCCCCGCGGCCCGGTCGTCGACCAGGCCTCCTTTTTGTTGCACCCCCCCCCCCCTGGAAGCAGCCCGTAGCAGCTGTCAAAACCCCCCCAGGTACCTATTTACTGCTAGGTGAACAAGGATATCAGGGTGAAAGAAACTCTGCCCATTTGTTTCCGCCTCCACCGGGGATCGAACACGGAACCTCATGACTACGAATCCCGAGCGCTATCCACTCAGCTGTCAGGCTGGATAATGAAGAAACACACACACACACAGACACACACACACACACACACACACACACACACACACACACACACACACACACACACACACACACACACACACACACACACACAAGGGGACACAGGTGGAAACTGAGTGCCCAAATGAGCCACAGAGATATTAGAAAGAACTTTTTTAGTGTCAGAGTGGTTGACAAATGGAATGCATTAGGAAGTGATGTGGTGGAGGCTGACTCCATACACAGTTTCAAGTGTAGATATGATAGAGCCCAATAGGCTCAGGAACCTGTACACCTGTTGATTGACGGTTGAGAGGCAAGACCAAAGAGCCAGAGCTCAACCCCCCCCCCCCCGCAAATACAACTAAGTGAGTACTAGGTGAGTACACACACACACACACACACACACACACACACACACACACACACACACACACACACACGGTACCTGAAGCGGGTCGTGTGTTATTAAACATTATGATTAGCGTTTGCAACGTGTCTATGTAAACATCACGGAACCATTTAGCTGTATCATTAAAGTTATCTGTGTCGTCATGCAGATATTAAAGTGGAGAGAGATATTCATGTTGGAATTACCTCTTTGGGATACGATGTTTGAAATTGGCTAATTTAGGATTAACTATTATATTTAATTCTTGGGATAATCTGTCGGGATTGTATATATATATATATTGGATTTAATCATTAGGAATAAAGGAAGCTTAATTGTTGAGATTAGCTGTTGGGTTTAACTGTTGGAACTAGCTTTTGAGATTAGCTGATTGGATTAGATGTTTGGACTAGCAGTTTGGATTAGCTGCTGCTATCAGTTGTTGGACTTGACAGTTGGGCTTACCTGTTTGGATTAGCTGTTAGGATTAGGGATAGGGGATTATCTACTAGGATTAGTTGTTGGGATAAGGTGCTGTGATGAACTGTTGGAATTAACTGTTGGGATTAGCTGTCGAAATTAGATGCTAGAAAAGCTGTTTGTGATTAGCTGCTGGGATTAGCTGTTGAGTTAAACTTTTGGAGTTAACTGATGGGATTAGTTGCTTGGATTAGATGTTGGGATTAGTTGTTGGGTTAACTGTTGAATTTAGCTGTTTGAAAATACCTGCTAGAATCAGTTGACATTTTTAGCCGTTAGGTTCAGTTACTGGGATTAAAAAGTTGGGATTAGCATTGGCCTGGGATTAGAAGTGAGGATTAGCCGGAATAATGGTAGTAAGACATGAAATACTGCTGGGCCATAAATTACATGTAAATTAAGGTTTATGAGAATCTAATCATTGGGATTACTTGAGTAATCGCCAATTAAAACTGCCTCTCCTCTACAGCCTCCTCAGGCCTAACGTCATTCACTTATATAAAAATATAATTATAAACGTATAATATATAATATATATATATATATGTCTTGCTCTTTAGGTAGTTTCTGAATTCCTCTTCTAATGATTCTTTTTATTCTTCAATTGTTTTTTTTTCTGATGCATTGATAGACACATTCACTTCAATTCATTATTCAGTGAGAACTAAATGAAGTTTATGAAGTTCATTTAGCCTAAATAGGCCAATTATTCCTTAGAACTGTTTAGGCACAATTCAGCCAATTTTAAATGATAACATGTTATCGTCAAATTCATCAATAAGCTGTTATTTTTATACACAAAAATTTCCGGACAAGATATAACAAAAATTAGAAAGCTAAAATTATGCTTACTTTGACCTTTGCGATCCTTGCTTACTAAGCCAAGCCGGACAACTCTGCCTAAAAAGATCGACCTGTACACTACTATCAACAGGAAATCAGCAAATATTGAAACAAAAATAATGATTTAACACGAGTTTAAAAGAGTATTTTTTATGTTCTCAGACATCACACTTCAGGCCGTTTGAATCCTCGTTTAATGAGAAACCTGATACCACTCTTATGCGGGCGCTCGCAAGCAATTTGTTCGTAAATCCACTTAAGTTTGGGAAAGAGAGAGAGAGAGAGAGAGAGGTACGCTTGCAATTCGCCAGGTTCGCGTGATCGATTACGACCGCCTTTCTCTCTCCCACCTTCACCTCACACAAAGGGCGATCTCTCTCTCTCTCTCTCTCTCTCTCTCTCTCTCTCTCTCTCTCTCTCTCTCTCTCTCTCTCTCTCTCTCTCTCTCTCTCTCTCTCTCTCTCTCTCCCTAGAAAGGCAAGCGCTGCAATGTGTGTGTTTGTGTGCTTGGAGTTAACCCTTTGACGGCTCGGAAGCTCAACTATGGAGAGTGCTTGTCCGGGTGCAGGATTGCGTGCGTGTGTGTACTTTCATTGATGCGTTTCACGGGTCGAGCTCTATCTCTGTTGCGCCGCCATTGTAGCTATATCGGTTGATTACTCTAATGTCTTGATCTTGCATGTGCATGAGCAGGAATGATCTTGCATGAGCAGGAATGATCTTGCATGTACAACAATCATGTGTGAATTTGGTTTAGTGTTGAGCTGAATGGCGCATCAACCATCAAAAGAGATTAGTAAGCAAACTATAAATATACTTTAAGTCCTGAATATACTGCAGGATAAAAGTATACTATCAGTGTACATACACCAAGAAGCACAAAACTTCTGTGTGTGTGTGTGTGTATCCTCCTGAGGTGTAGGTGAAATCTCTCATTCTACATAATTTATTGGTTAGTTTGGATATCCCCTTACTTGTTCTCCATTCCTTAATTCACGTCGTGTTCAGCCTTGGAGACAACCCTTCGTGGGGATATCTCGGCACTTTCTGGATTTGCGTTTTATGAGGTTGAGGTTCCATGTGGGTGCTACGTATTCCAACACTGATTCGGTGTCTGCAGTAAACAGTGGGTTTTATGTGTGTGTGTGCAATTGTGTATGCTCACAATTGTGTACACACACAAACACACACACACAACGTATGTGTGTGTGTGTGTATACGTTCCCAAAGGCTCCTGTGGCGTTCATTGGCTTAGGATATATCCTGAAGCACAATGGTCTGTGCCCTGCCTTGTTCTGGGTGAAGTTTTCGCTGCTTGGTCGTGTGTGTGTGTGTGTGTGTGTGTGTGTGTGTGTGTGTGTGTGTGTGTGTGTGTGCCTCCTTTGAGAAGTGCGAAGCTGTTTACTCATGAACTTTTTCCACTTACTGACACTGGTAAGGTCGTCCTCTTAAGTGTGGGCTGTTCCTCTGTCCCTTTTTTTCAAATGTCTCCGTCTTCATGACTTGGAAAGTTTGCTTGTGTTGAAGCCTGGTGGCCATTTGCTTGTGTTGAAGCCTGGTGGCCATTTGCTTGTGATGAAGCCTGGTAGCCATTTGCTTGTGATAAAGCCTGGTAGCCATTTGCTTGTGTTGAAACCTGGTGGCCATTTCCTTGCGTTGAAACCTGGTGGCCATTTACTTGTGATGAAACCTGGTGGCCATTTGCTTGTGTTGAAACCTTGTGGCCATTTGCTTGTGATGAAACCTGGTGGCCATTTGCTTGTGTTGAAACCTGGTGGCCATTTGCTTGCGTTGAAGCCTGGTGGCCATTTGCTTGCGTTGAAGCCTGGTGGCCATTTACTTGTGATGAAGCCTGGTGGCCATTTGCTTGTGTTGAAGCCTGGTGGCCATTTGCTTGTGTTGAAGCCTGGTTGCCATTTATTTAAAAAAAACAGCTTTGTGTGAAGCCTTTTAACCACTGTCTGGCTTGAACAATAGCATAATCTTGCAGAAGTATCATACAGTTCTAATTTGTGCTGATTGAAATCAAATCGAAAACTTTATTCATTAATTGTTGTCCAGTTATATATGATTGTGTTTACGTCAATTTACAGTTCCTTATTTACTGTAGAGAAAGTCACAACAGCGTCGTAGGAGGAAGAAACTATCAATGTTTGCTTGTATAATTTAGATTTAGGTTTAGATCTTATGTTTGGCTATGTTTTACATAAAACATTTCATTACAGGTGTTGTTGCAAAACCTTGTGTTACAAGGGTGACAACCTTAAGAAACAAATGGATAGAGTTTCTTTCACCCTGATGTATCTGTTCACCTAGGAGTAAATAGGTACCTGGGAGTTAGACAGCTGCTACGGGCTGCTTCCTGAGGGTGTGTAGCAAAAAAAAAAAGGAGGCCTGATCGAGGACCGGGCCGCGGGGACGCTAAGCCCTGAAATAATCTCAAGAAAACCTCACGATAACCTCAAGATAACCTCAAGATAACCATGCTGGACGTCAAGCTAAAGTTTTAGAATTACAGCTGTGAGGTATATATATATATATATATATATATATATAATTTGATGGATAATTAGTATAAACTAATTATTCAATTGACAGCCTCGGTGATAAGTGACTCTGTGAGGTGTGTCTCATCTCCTGCATTATTTACATATAGAGAACTGTGCTCGTGACGAGCCTATATTCCCCCCCCCCTTACTCATGCTTCAATAGGAACTTCTTGAGTAGGACGATGTCAAACACTCTCTGCCAATACATAAATATAACAAACTTATCTAATATTTATCAACTTATCTGGCTTCAATCTTTCTGCCGTCGTAACAAGATATCTTGAGTCAAAACCTCCTGAAGTTTAACCTTGTTTGATATTCTATTAGTCCCTTTTTAGCATTATTTTCCTCAGAACTTTGCGTAGTAAGTTTGTCAGATGCCTCGATCAGGGCGGGGGGGGGGGGGCAGATTCACGAAACAGTTTCGCAAGCACTTACGAACGTGTACATCTTTCCTCAAACTGTAACGGCTTTGGTTACATTTATTAAATAGTTTACAAGCGTGAAAACTTGCCAAATCAACTGTTGTTATTGTTATAAACCGCCTCCTGGTGCTTCGGAGCTCATTAACTGTTTAATAATCGCAAACAAAGCCGCCAAAGACTGACAAAAGAAGGACAAAGTTCGTAAGTGCTTGCGTAAGTGCTTCGTGAATCTGGCCCCCCAGGTCTGTAGTTGAGTGGTGAGTTCCCCTCCATTCTGTAGAGCAATACTAGTGTTACAGTGACGATGGGGCGGGTCCTCCTAGGCGTCCCTGTCATGGGTTCATGGGTACACACACAAGTCGTCTTGCCTCGTGTGGATATTGCTTCATACAATTGCTATATAGAGCGGCATCGGTGACTCCTCACCCATAGTAGATGGATGTGGGATTTTTTTGCCAATTTCATCCCGTTCTTTCCAGTCTCTCGCGCTAAGGGGGCCCCCGTAAGCGTCGTCGTCTACAAGAGACGTCACCTACAAGAGACATCACCTACAAGAGACATCACCTACAAGAGACATCACCGACAAGAGATGTCACCGACAAGAGACATCACCTACAAGAGACATCACCGACAAGAGACATCACCTACAAGAGACGTCACCTACAAGAGACATCACCGGCAAGAGACGTCACCGACAAGAGACATCACCTACAAGAGGCATCACCTACAAGAGACATCACCTACAAGAGACATCACCTACAAGAGACATCACCTACAAGAGACATCACCTACAAGAGACATCACCTACAAGAGACATCACCTACAAGAGACGTCACCTACAAGAGACGTCACCTACACGAGACATCACCTACAAGAGACATCACCTACAAGAGACATCACCTACAAGAGACATCACCTACAAGAGACATCACCTACAAGAGACATCACCTACAAGAGACATCACCGACAAGAGACATCACCGACAAGAGACATCACCTACAAGAGACATCACCTACAAGAGACATCACCTACAAGAGACATCACCTACAAGAGACGTCACCTACAAGAGACATCACCTACAAGAGACATCACCTACAAGAGACATCACCGACAAGAGACATCACCGACAAGAGACATCACCGACAAGAGACATCACCTACAAGAGACATCACCTACAAGAGACATCACCGACAAGAGACGTCACCTACAAGAGACATCACCTACAAGAGACATCACCTACAAGAGACGTCACCTACAAGAGACGTCACCTACACGAGACATCACCTACAAGAGACGTCACCTACACGAGACATCACCTACAAGAGACATCACCTACAAGAGACATCACCTACAAGAGACATCACCTACAAGAGACATCACCTACAAGAGACGTCACCTACAAGAGACATCACCTACAAGAGACATCACCTACAAGAGACGTCACCTACAAGAGACGTCACCTACAAGAGACGTCACCTACAAGAGACATCACCTACAAGAGACATCACCTACAAGAGACGTCACCTACAAGAGACGTCATCTACAAGAGACATCACCTACAAGAGACGTCACCTACAAGAGACGTCACCTACAAGAGACATCACCTACAAGAGACATCACCTACAAGAGACATCACCTACAAGAGACATCACCTACAAGAGACATCACCGGCAAGAGACGTCACCGACAAGAGACATCACCTACAAGAGACGTCACCTACAAGAGACGTCACCTACACGAGACATCACCTACAAGAGACATCACCTACAAGAGACATCACCTACAAGAGACATCACCTACAAGAGACATCACCTACAAGAGACATCACCTACAAGAGACATCACCTACAAGAGACATCACCTACAAGAGACGTCACCGACAAGAGACATCACCTACAAGAGACATCACCTACAAGAGACATCACCTACAAGAGACGTCACCGACAAGAGACATCACCTACAAGAGACATCACCTACAAGAGACATCACCTACAAGAGACATCACCTACAAGAGACATCACCTACAAGAGACATCACCTACAAGAGACATCACCTACAAGAGACGAATACATTACGCTGATGTAACCATGTCAAAAAAGCATCCGTCTTCCTGTCTTTCGTGATTCGCGGTACATAAAAGACACACACACACACGCACACACACACACACACACACACACACACACACACACACACACACACACACACACACACACACACACACAAGTCTTTCAGAGGGGATAAATCTCTTGACGATAAATACCCACTTCCTCATGTTTGGCGCACGATACGGTGAACGATCGAACGATTTCCCCGCGGGATGGGAACACAAAAATAGTTTCGATCTTACCGTCAATATCTCGCTCGGAGCGATAAGCAAGCTACCCGCTTCAATACCCACATAAGTCATTTATCCAAGCGAGACAGCTTTCTCTCAAGCACCCTCTCTTTCTCTCTCTCTCTCTCTCTCTCTCTCTCTCTCTCTCTCTCTCTCTCTCTCTCTCTCTCTCTCTCTCTCTTAAGAAGTGATGTCGAGGCAAGAAACAGAGAGTGGGAAACTCCAGAGACCCGAGACGTGACCAGCTGTTAAGCAAGAAAGTTGTTAGAGTCTTGGAACGACCGTAGACCTGTGAAAAGCGAGAACAGCCCTACGCTATTTATTTTAGAGATAAAAGGAATAGAAGATAAACCATTAAAAGTGGTAGGAGAACGCAAACAAAAAAAGCAATAAAATGTTGGCACATGTTATTAAGAAATATTATTATGTAACATATGTGTGTGTGTGTGTGGAAATTGACACATGTGACTGATAGGATCACCTGAACAAGCTACAAGAGTTGTCTCGCAGATGGTTTCCAGAATCCAATCCTGGCAATTGTAAAGTGATGAAGATGGGAATTGAAAATTAATAGTCAAGAAAGGGAGGATTCTCAAAGGCTTCGAACTGAAAAGTCAATCACCAGAGGAACAAATGAATAGGGTTCCCCCCTCCCCCCCGCCCCCCTTCCAGTAGCGTGTGAGGCTCTCTTCAAACCTGCAACATAAGAGCCTAGGGGGAAAGGGAAAATATATATATATATATATATATATATATATATATATATATATATATATATATATATATATATATATATATAAAATATATCAAATCCATATCCTGACCCCTTCCAAATGTTATATATATATATATATATATATATATATATATATATATATATATATATATATATATATAACATTTCAACCCGTTCTCGCAAATTTAATAAGTCAATATTGACTTATTAGTTGCGTGCATAGATGACATACTAAACATAATAGTTTCCCTTGAAAAGCTTCATAGAAAACACCGACCTTACCTAACTTACTTAGTATGTTAAAATAAGCATCTTATAGCTCCATAATTACAATTGTTACTTATCCTATTATAGGTATAGGTTAGGTAATAATGTAATTACGAAGCAATAAGATGCTTATCTTAACATACTAAGTAGGTTAGGTAAGGTCGGTGTTTTCTATGAAGCTTTTCAAAGGAAACGATTAGTTAAGTATGTTACCTATGCACATATTTAATAAGTCAATATTGACTTATTAAATTTGCGAGAACGGGTTGAACATTTGGAAGGGGTCAGGATATGGATTTGGGAAGGGACGGGTGGAAAGGAATGGTGCCTAACCACTTGCACAGTCGGGGATTGTACGCCGACCTGCATGAAGGGAGACCGTCGCTCTACCGTTGAGCCCAAGTGGTAGGACTAGGGGGACCTATTGTAAACGTTGTAACGTTATACGCGTTGAAGCCTAATATTTGTAACTCACTCCAGCAGACACAATTAGAGTGAACAGCACGCTGGACACGTAATCCTGTGGTCCGGGGGTTCGATTCTCGTCGCCGGCGAGAAACAAAATGGGCAGAGTTTCTTTCACCCTGATGCCCTTGTTACCTAGCAGTAAACAAGTACCTGGGAGTTAGACAGGTGTTACGGGCTGCTTCCTGGGTGTGTATGTGTGTGTGTGTGTGTGTGTGTGTGTGTGTGTGTGTGTGTGTGTGTGTGTGTGTGTGTGTGTGTGTGGTGTGTGTGTGTGTGTGAAAAAAAGTTAGTAGTTAGTAAAAGTTGACTGATTGACAGTTGAGAGGCGGGGTGAAAGAGCAGAGCTCAACCCCCGCAAGCACAACTAGGTGAATAACTAGGTGAATAAAACACACACACACACACACACACACACACACACACACACACACACACACACACACACACGCACACACACAATATTCAACTAATAAACTCGCCGAGACGTAGATTTCCTTCATAAAAAAAACATGGAAAATGGCGCAGAAAATGGAAGCAAAAGTGAAAGTTGAAATGGAAATCTTGCCGCTGCAAGTTGAAAGTCAGGACAGAGTGAAGACTGAAATGGAAGGTGACTTCACCGCCTTGGGGGTCCTCTCTCTCTCTCTCTCTCTCTCTCTCTCTCTCTCTCTCTCTCTCTCTCTCTCTCTCTCTCTCTCTCTCCTCTCTCTCTC